AAGAACGTAAAATGATTTAGGGGTGAATCTGATTTCAAGAGCATCACTATGACCATTCCACCGTCTGTTAGAGACTTGTTTCTATTACAGATTGGTACACGCATCGTAAATACGGTAGGCCCACCTCCAGTATATGACTGTTCATATCAAAGATCTTTGTCATGTGGCGGATGGAAGTAACATATGGTCCTATATGTTGCCACTTTCTTATGGCGGATGGTACTTATTTGTAAAAGTCATGTGAATCATACCCCTTCTACGTAATTCACCCATCCCTGTATGAACTGAGTGTCCAAATCCAACTAGTATCCATGGAAACGAAAAGAACATACAATTTTCAGAAATCTTAAAATATCAAAAGGCACCTCTTCAGTACTTAGGTAATGCACATGCAAAGTTTAAAAAGATATAATGAATTATTTTTTAGTTCCGCTCCGGAAATGAACCCATCCCTGTACTGCTAAGACGGTGCTATTAAAATGGAATGGATTTTCCCAAATGTGAAACACAAATTTCAAGCTGTTGGTTTCAAGCATAGAAAAAACGCCATGATGTCGTGTCAAATAGATAAGCAAGAAGATTATACCAGGGAAAAATGCCAGGTTCCCAAGTGTACAACACACACTTTTTCTGTAGTGACGCTTTGCACAGAGAAGCCCAATGATGTAGGGAACCTGTGCACTTTTAAAGAGGGGGTTAGGGAGCGAATCTTGTTACTTTATTAGATAGTCAAATAGATAAGTAACAGGATCATACTATTTATAACCCGTATTTTAAAGTATTTCGGTTCGAAAAATTCCAGGATTCTAACCTCTTAACAGGTACTCATGTGTATACCTGGCATGACCAATACGGCATCGTCTTAAAATGACCTCTTCAAATCTGGACTGACCACCCAAGTAGGTGTAACCAATATAGGGTTTTAATTGATGTTATTTATTGATACCTACTTGGATGTCTCACATATGTTGCTTCTAATAATAGGTTAAAGTCACTGAAAAACTATCAGAAGTGGTGTCTTAGTTGCGGAATCAGCCATTGTGTTACCCGAAATTCCGCCATGCCTGGGTAATTAACCAACAGAAGACGATGTCGTATTGGCCAGTAGCAAGATCATTGTGTTATTCGAAAATTCCGGGGGAAAGTGTATGTTTATTTGACATGTTGTTAATGTCCTGAAGACAAATAGAACACGTAGGTCAAAATTGCCAGATTGGCTCATAAGCCACTGCCTTCTCGCATTGGACTCTAGGTAAATACAATCATACATTTTCTAGTTTAAAGCCCAAATGTGACATAACGCTGCAAAGTGCCAATCAAAACAGGCTTCTAGCTCAGGATTTGACCTGACCAGCTCGTTGATAGAACCGAGACCATTCTACCAACCAGGCGAAGTAAGTGTCGAAATGGTGTATTGGGCAAAGGGAACACTATTCCTAGCCTCTGAGCCATCAACAACCAGAATCTTGTCCTCCACCGACACAGTTTTGCAATCCGCAGCCAGCAGATTGCCCAAACAGGTTTCAGCAATTGGGTGCTGTGAACATATTCTATCCATACGGGGAAGAGCTATTAGCGTTACCCAGCACTCACCACGAGGAGGTTGCCCTTCAAGAGTGCCTGTTATAAGAATGAACTTGTTGGTGGCAACTGTTGTGCCAGGACGATGATACAAGTAAGGTGTAAACTAACACACCACACCTTCATTTCCATAAAGCCCAAGCAGTCTACTGGGAAGATACATTCCAACCGAGAAAGCTATGTGCTTCGTCAGCAAAGGTTAAGTTTTTTTTTAATATTCCAAAAAACCCCACAAAGTTGGAAGAATCTGATTGCATTACTCTATGCCACGGCTAACTGAAACTGAAAGATGGCGAGCCATTGGAATGCTTGAAACCGGAACACCTAAGCGCAACGTTGCACAGCATATGCCGCTTGTGGAGACGTTATCAATAAAACGCCATCGCTGCAGACCGTCCCCGAACTGGCCGTCCACCTGTAAACACGCTAGGATTCAAACCACCCGTCAGCGCCAAAGAATCAAACCAGCCACACTGACAGCCCGAACACTTCCTGGTGTCAACAGGCTATCGCCAAGGACCATTCGCCAACCTCTGGCTGCATACGGGATATGTGCTAGACGTCCTGCCAGACGACAAATTTGGACATTACGTCACCAACATTTAGTACTGCAGTGGTGCAGATAACATTTGCGGTGGAGATCACGTGAGTGGAAACATGTTCTCTTCACTGACGAGTTCAGATTCTTCTTGACAGCGTCCTTCCCTGTCCCGCTATATCTCCAGAGCTATCCTCTATCGAACACGTCTGGGGCGAAATGGAGAAGAAATTGAGATGTCGGCCAAATCCCCCAGTTACTCGGACAGCTGCTTCCATAAATATGGAATGGCATTCCACAAGATTTCTTGTATGAGACGCAGGTGTCAAACCTGAATGTTGGCAATATACAATTCTCGAATTTCAAGAACCCAGCACAACGTATAACAGTGTTGTCTACAATGTTGGCAATCCGCTATTCCCAATTTCATTAGGCCAACACAACCCGAGAAAATACTATGGTAAAATGATGCTCCAGACACAGCCGGTAACAGTACTGTGGTAGAATGTTGACAATATGTTTTTCCCTCTTTTCATGTTCCATCAACATAACAGTACTATGGTAGAATATTAGAGATCTGATTTTCCTCAATTTCGTGTTCAAGACACAACCCGTAACAGTGCTTTGATGGAATATTGGCAATCCACTTGGTAAGTTTTTGGTGATCCTTACACAATCCCATAACAGCGCCTAAAGCTACCACACTGCACCGAATCAACTACCTTGTTGCTCGCTATTGTCCTCTTACTGTTGAATTGAATTAAGTACATTGAATTGAACCGTAGGTGGGGTGGGTAGGGTATAAAGAGCTGTTTTAGGGATGGGCGCCGTTCTGGGTATACAAAATACCTTCCGCGTATATCGTATTCTGAGTTAAGCTTTTGTAAGATTTTGCAGAAGCGGTTTTTTTCTGATTCATGTCAAACATATAACAAGTCTCACATTTTGTTCAGGGATCCTCTCAACTTTATCCCAGATGCATGTCGACGGATAAAATGATAACGGGACAGCAAACTTGCGATTAATAATATTTGAATAAAATATTACCAACAATACCCTTTTAACAAAAACACTCTCGATTCCGACTACATCTGAGCAACGATGCACGCCGTCGTGATTCCATGAAACCTTAATACCAAAGGTACAGAGCCCGACCCAGCTGATCATCTCTCACGACATGACATGGTTCGTGGGTGGTGGGATGGTGGAGGCTTTCCTAAATCAAATCTCCAAAAGGGTTTGGATTTAAAAAGATTTGCAGGATCTTGTTTGGCATCCAAACTTCAACTCACACATGCATCTCTAGAACGGGATAAAATACAGTATAACCTCTCTTATGTATTGTAATCGGACAAGGAATTCAAAACACAAATATATCTAAATAACTGAAGATGTTTTATGTAAGCAAATTGCACATTCATATCTAGTTGAAATTCGAGAACAAAACAGAATTATCAGTTCTGTAACTAAACGTTTATCCGAGATTGACAAATGACCATGCAAGGGGTGTTTTTTTATCCTTCACAAACAAATCTTGTACTTAAACAGGGTGGCTGTATGGACGGTCTTGCTAAATCCGGTTTGAGCTGGTGTAAAGCGGTTTAACACAATTGTTTAATCATATTCTATGCATGATTTCTGTTTGGGGCTTTACACACTTCGAGAAGCAGGAAGATGTCGAGCAAGACCATTGGTTGTCCTCGGGAACAGGATAATGAAGGGGATTTTAGGTTGGAGTGTATAAAAGGGATTTGCAGGTTTGGGAAAATCAACTTGGATCGACAAGCAGTAGCCAAGCCGTTTGGTTGATTGTGAAGAATTCTCCCAGACAGCCTCATCATGATGACCAAGGTAGGTGTTCTTCATATATTTGACTTCACTATTTTCTACTTTTCTTGTCATTCTGTTCTTCATTACTCTGAAGGGAATTTTATACACGAAAATCCCATTCGGGAACAGTATACTTACTCGGTGTAAACATTTAGTGCGACAGAAAGGGTAACAAGTGCAACCTTTCAATGGTTTGTTGTATGACACTGCCAGGGTTCGAACTCGATATTCCATCCTCCGGACAGACGCTCTATCATTATTTCTACGGAGGCAGCCGGTACTTCGGAGTTACGTTTGCCTTTTCAGTTTAATTTGTCCCCGAATATTTGATCGGCAACAGTTAACGGATGGTACAGTGGACACAGTTTGTTTATATCTAGATCTATATTACACTGTAAGAAAGAACTTTGGGATAGATCCCATATATTCTGTACCTTCGTCAAGCAAGACAAGGTTTGCCTCTCCGGCTATTTCAGAATATGTTTCGTTATAGATACTTTACATACCGCAATGAGGATTGGCGTATAATTGTCGTCATAATATAATCGAAAATATAAAATTGCCCAGTGATGGTATGAAATTCTTGACATGTATTTTCATTTTTCAGGTTGCAATCCTGACTCTTGTTGCGATAAGCTTGAATGGGTGTTTTGGCATCCCCGTCATCCACAATGTTAGTATAAACGATTTTACAAATATACAATATTCAAATTTAAAGATCTAAGGAATTGCATGTCATAAGACGGTATTGGTTTCAAAGTATATATATACCACCCACGTACAGGTTGATGCAAAGTAGTAATCCTGGGTTCGATTCCATGTTTCACACTGATTTCTGGACACTTTGGAAATTGGTCCCTCTTCAACCTGAGACTGGCGTGATGACAAGGAATATTGTTTAAAGTAGCCATAAATGTAACAAAGTCACTCTCTCAAGAGGGCACCATTCAATAGCCATCTCTCCTTGACTTACTCCTACACTCTAGTTCCGAGATTGTGTCTTTGACAAGAATTCAACGCACTGTAACATATCGTCTGCATGTTTCAACAGTGCACCCTTGTGGACCTTGAGGATGATGTGGAAGCTCTGACGTGCGGTTCCGAGACGACAACGAGGTTCAAGAACGGAACGCTCATCGATATACAGTATTTCGCGAACGAGGTGAGAGTCTTTGATGCATAAAGTATGATCAGGTACACACATGAATCACCTTACTTTAAAATATACATGTACCAGCATTCATACATTTATATACGGCGCAGCCTCGGTTGCTTTCTTGTCGGATTTGAGATTCAGCTTCACGATTCTGCTAGTCCTGCTCTCAATGTTTAATTGCGTAATGTTAAAAGTGGTGTGGTGTTGAAGTCATCATATTATTTCTTTGTGGAGAAACTAAAGTGCACATAATTTCTCCCCACTTCCGTTTTCTTTTATATACACATGTAATTAATAGTTTGTGTAAAATACTTACAGTTTCGTTGTGTTCATTGAAATAATTAGCAGTCTGATGGGCTGAATTGGTCACGTGTTATTTCATTTATTTCCCCGAGAATGTAAAATAGGAAAGCCAAGCCCACAGAAGCTTATACCAATAACAAGTCTTCCAATCACAGGCATTTTCATGCATGGGACTTCTCGTCGCTATGGCTGAAATGATGTCGATGCGACGTGAAACTCAACTCAACTCTTAAGGAAGTTTATTGTATATGAGGTGTGAAACAGCAAACATCCGGGGTCGCTCCCCCTGGTTCCTCAAAACGGAATAATGAACTTTGCACATCTTTCATATCGATTCGTACCTCTTTGAACGGAAAACATTGTTTTCACAGACCCTTTCGGTTCTCCAAATTGGAAACGAGACGTCGGCATGCTATCTTCAACGTTCGGAGCCCTTACCAGATGGAGTAAGTACACACACATGACAATCACACTTTCTCGGATAGTTCTTCTTTCTGTTACTACCTATACTCCACTGTCCAACACTTACTGGATAGTGGTTCATTTGCAAGTGGTAGTGAATGTCGGGGCCGTACATTGAAAGTGGTTCATTTACACGTGTTCATGATTGTCGGAAACGTATATTGATAGTGGTTCATTAACACTTGTTTATAAATGTCAGCATCGTATATTGAAAGTGGTTCATTAACACTTGTTAATGTTTTTTGGAATCGTACTTTCTCTTCGTTTAGTAATGATCCAGCAACTCCTAAAACTGCCACAGACACTCTGTCTTACAATTGGTAATGACGTCCTCACCCCTGCACTCTCAATAAAAAAATTAGGTGTCGTCTTCGAGGAACGATGTAACCTCAACAACAAATCAGTGCCCTTTCCAAATCTTGCTACTTCCACATCTTCAACATCAGCAAAATCCGCCACCTTTTGGACTATAACACCGCTCAGTTACTCATGACAAGTCTTGTAATCTCCAAACTCGACTACTGCAATTCTCTCTACTTTAACATTCCTCGACATCTACTTTCCAAACTGCAAAGAATTCAAAACTCTGCCGCCCGAGTTGTTGCCCGTGTTTCACGATATGACAGCATCACTCCCAACCTCTAACAACTTCACTGGCTCCCCATATCCTTCACAATCAATTTCAAGCTTCTCCTCCTCAAACACAGCTGCATTTACGATAATGACTTTCCCAAATATCTAAAGAATCTTGTAACTCTCCATACTCCCAGCAGATCACTCCGCTCCAGCAACTCCTTTCTTCTCTCCCAGCCAACCACCAAGACCACTATGGATGACAGAGCCTTTTCAGCTGCAGCCCCACTACTCTGGAACAGCCTCCCTATCACTATCAGAGAAATCAGCTGTAAAGCCTTTTTCAAAAAAGCCCTAAAAACCCATCTGTTCATAGTATCCCTCTCATAGACTTTTCTTACTCTCATCTTCAGCGCCGTTGAGCAAATACGTTTTGGAAGCAGGCGCTTTATAAATTCATTATCATTATCATTATTTCGTACGATGACGGAATTGGTGAGTTTCGCCATTATTTAATCAATCATTCCGTCAACAGATTGACTTTGCGCAAGTGTCGGAAACCGATGCCAGCGTAGAAGCCAGCGCTGAGACATCTGCTGCCATCGTCGCTCTGGTCCCACAGTGTGAAGGACGTGTTATCTATGAGCTGGTGCCTGAAACAGGTGCAACCACCCCAGGTACGTGGATCGTGCTCGTAATATCAATCACCAGATTGTCTCGTCCAGACCCGGTTATTTACAGACGGCCGTCAATTGACTGGAATATTGCTTCGGCCTTAACGCAGAACCCCAAACAAATCCCGTACATGTACAAGCGTACATGCGAACAAAATCCAATGGACCTCGCTCCTAAACTATCGTTATGGTTATAACGTGGTAGCCCGATAATTAGTGTCCTCCATTGTCATAAGATATCATATTACTAAATGCTGCATACACATCACGCATGGCTATAGAACAGAAGCACTGATACATAAATATTTATAAGTTGGCCGCCCCGTGTTATTTTGCGTATCACAAGCCCTGTATCGAAACTCCAATTCATCAGTTAACAAATTGTTGAGCAGTAAATACAGTTGAAATGATTTTAATCAAAACCCGATTACAAATGTCATGTTTATTTCTTATGTGCTGCGGGGACCCCGAAATGTTCCGGATACGAAGATTTCATTCTGAAAGTTGTTCTGATTTCCACATAAAGCACAGGGTAAAGTTGATATATGCATTGCATGCATTAAGTCCACGCTTCGCGGGAAATAAGATAGTTATTTTCTTCCTTTGCTGCTTTGATATTAAGGCTATGTATTTCTCTTTGCAGGTCGAAAGAAGAGATGGTGTCGGTATGTTTACCGTTGCTATTACTACAGAATCTATTATGGATGGTATGGATACAGATGGTACAGATATTGCAAATTTCTGTATGTCTGTTAATTGATCAAATTAACGACTGACCTGGCCAAATCCAAAGTCTTTGCACTAAAATATTTCCAGCTTGTATAGAGTATTTTAATGGTTGCTTCTTAGCAGGGCCAAAATTGAATAGTTAGCAAGTTTATTAATTGTGAAAACTGACTGGAAACAAAAATGAAGTGCACTTTACATGAAAATGAGTTGCGTTTCCGTTTGTCGATATTGTTTTTGTTTATGGTCCAATTAGTGCTCATTGTAATGACCAAACAATGATTTTCTTCTCTTTTCATTTAATTTTATCTTTATTAAGTCTTCAAGTTCATCAGTATGTTAATTTTTCCAGTAAAGTAATTTTTTACATTTTTTCTAAGAATAAGCTCTTATTTATATAAGTATATGTATTTATTTTGCATCTTAAGATAGTACATTTTTTCCTAATTTATGCTTGAATAGGTTAGTTCATTTGCTCCTTAAAATTATAAGTTAAAAGGAGATAATTTCCTATCATTTCATTAATTTTAAGCATGCTGTTATTAAGTGAGGCAATTCAGGGTGGATTGTATGTTAAGCCATTGCTCTTAGTTCTGGGAACCCTGGTTATTTCTCATATCACATAGCACATGGCAGGATGCACATGGCAGAATGCTCAAGGCAGTTTGTCTGCAATGTTAAAAAAGTTGCTCAATTTGAAGTCGGTTGTCTTTATGGAATACAGTAATGGTGAGCTATGTCTACTTATTTTGTGAGTAATTATTTATATTTTATGTATAATAATTTGCTAGGGTATTTTAGGTATGTATAGTAAACTGTTTCTCTGTTTGCATTTCCTGATCAGCTTTCTGTATCTGGCAAGTTATTACCTTTGTTTCATGTGTAATGTTGTAAGGCTAATTCAAAGGAATTTATTTTAAAAGGTTTGTCACATCTTTTAAGCAACTTTGGATATTAAGCTGAAGTAAGTTTTAATGCTACAAGTATTAGGTAAGCTCAAGTAAGTGTATATTGTCAAGCTATTTGTCATAAATATTATGTTTGCCATTTTACTGTTTTGTCAGCCACTTTTGTAAGACAGTTTTATTTGTATTGTATTGCAGTTAATCTGCTAGTTCTGACTATGAAGAGAAGTAATAAAAGTCAACATAAGTTGAAGTCAAGTTTGTTTGTCCTACACTCGTTAACTCGAGCTTCTTATGATAATTCGACATTATCCACATTTCTGAATGAGAAAGTGGTGCAAAGATACATACAAAAGTCAACATCGTCTTATACGGTTGAGATTGTCTAGTTGATGATGTTTCAAAGTATTATGTAAACATCCGAAGAAGGAAGTTTACACAAACCATAACACTGGACGCTTGTGTCCTTGTTTGACATTCCAGTCTTATTGATCACAAGGACATACATGTCTTGCAGTCCCATCAAAATACCCGGAATCACAAATAACTGACATACAAAAGAAGGTAGACACTTAGTGGTTTGGGATTAGTTCCCCACGAAAGAAAAGCCAACAGAGATAATGTTAAGTTTTAAGTTACAAACATTGTATAATGACCAGCAAAATAAATGAAATTCAAGAAATCAAAACAATTGTGTTCAAGTATCAAATCCAAACTCGTTCTGAAACAGTGTAATTTTCAAGAATTCTGAGTTGCGTTTTTATTGCTGGTCAATATATATGTGTTGCCCAAACACCACACAAATCGTACCAAACTACAACGTTGCCAGCGCCTGACTTTCCTCGCCTACAAAAAACCATGCTGACGGGTTAATGACATGTCCCCAAATGTTCGATAGGCCCAGATGCCGACAATACGCAGTCTGTCCCTGTGTTCCATCTGATGCGGTGACCCATGGCTGTAGATGCTAAGGCTGTAGATGCTGATGGCGAGCATCCAGTTGCGGACTGTCACCGCGCAGGTTATGGTCATCTTGCATGGTGGTCACTCTCGGTCTTCCAGTTATGGGTCTTGCCAGTCTGGTGGATGCGGCTCATTTGTGTTATGATTATCTACCTGTTGCTGTTCGAAGCCCCCATCTGCAACAGCCCCAATCTAATAGTTCGTCCTCGCTCTGCTACTGGTGGTGTCGGGATTTTGATGTCTGCCTTTAAAAGCTGTACGCTAACAAGGTCAGACGGCTGGCGCATAACATGCACGCGCGATTCAACCAAATGATTTTCATGATATCCCGCACCAAAACAATGTCAAGGGTTTTACCTTGTTTTCGAATTGTTAGTGACAATCAAAACAGTTTAAAAATATTTGTGCATCAGTTTAGTTTACATGTTGATTTGACCATTAAAGTCACTCATGACAACAAGTGCTCGCGAAAAGGTCAACTCCTCCTCCCAACTTTTGAACACAAGAATAGGTTGTTCTGGGTATTGTCATGAAAGTGAAACACGGCTTAAGCGTCGAACTGGCGGTGGATGATTATCTCCCTTATTAGCGCCAGGATGGGCTGGATTTTGGCTTTACGTTGGTATTCAGAAACGTTCCGATAATGCTCATTTGTCCATCACTTTGCCAGTAGGATTTACTGGAGGTGTAATGCCTGGGACACGTTTGGCGTCCCAACTACACCCAGCTGACATAACTGAAATAGTAGTATAGTTTAAGTCATGTTCTGTGTGGGATCCTAGAGAAGGATCCACCGTATGACCTATGACTATTGAGGCAACGAGAGTGTACAGACTCTGAGTAACGGTCTGCCACGAATCGTTGCACAGTCGTCAAAGTCGAAGAGACCCATTTGACAACAATTTTGAAATAGTCTGAAATCAAATTAAATTCTAAGGACAACCTATCTATGTATGAGTGAGTGGGTTGGGTTTAACGCCACTTTGAACAGTATACAAGTTATATCACATTGTGCCTGTTTGATATCGGAGGACGTGATGCAGGTTCCGGACGTTTACTTCTCAAGTGAAATTCACGGGTCAAGTGGTGAGGGGCATTACAGAAAAACTGGTTCATCCGTGACCCCCTCTCTCAACTTAAAGAGCAGCAACCATATACAGTCAAATCCTGATGAGTCGAATCGCTGGGGACCAAGTAATAAATTCGTCTTATCGATGTATTCGAGACATAGGTATGTCTATGAGGGTAGAAAAAAGATGATCCAGTCCTAATTCCTCCACCTAGGCATTTGTTTACCTAATGATTTCCCTATCACTAATAGGGGCACCTTATCAGTTCCAGTCTGATTAGCACAGACAGTGATTTCCGTAAAATCACTAATCTGCCTTTTGAACTCACCCGTCAATGGCGGAAAGGTGTGAGCCGCGCTGGTTTGTTAATTTGATCAGTTTGCTACACCAATCAACTTCTCATTGACTGACTTCGGCTTATGTATACAAGATTGGTGTTGTTTGAATCTCATGGGACCAAATTTCCCTTGAGTCATCGTGTGTATTTATTAGACGAATTCGTGTAACCGGTATTCAAATGATGACAACTATAACAGGGAATGGTCGGGACCGACAGGTACTTCGAGTTATGCATAATATTCGAGACACCGGCATTCGACTCTTCGGGATTTGACTGTATGTCTTGTTTTCGGCAGAACCGTAAGTGCTACAGACTGTGTAGTTGTCAACTCTGTTGACTGATATCCAATCTTTTTCAGAAAACAAAAATTAAACACTTGCGCAAAAAGGCATGTATTTGCAAGTGGAGCTGTTTGGTTTTTGTGAAACAGATCTAGCATGGTACTGAATAATGCTGTGGATCTTTAGCACTCTAGTGCTACAGTCTACAACAGTATTGCCATGTACCAACGGTCATATTCCCTGGTGGTTTACTCTTAAAGCCGACCGCGGAGTTCCGCCCTCATTAGAATAGAGGTAATAACCACATAGGACAGTGCACATTTTTAAACCATACCCTGTGCATTCCATCAAGTTAACGGTGTATGTACGAATTTATTTCAGTCGATCAACATTGAGTCTCCCGAAGAGAGCGTTAATAGAGAATCGTCGGAGATATATAGGATATTTTTTACTTCGTGGCATATAACAGTTTTGACTCGTGAAGTGACCTGTCAATCAATATATTTGATTAATTTTGTCAGGAAATGAGATAAGATAGTCATGTTATTTTTCAAGAAGAAATTATTTTTTTAGGTTTCTGCATGGGGTTTTCCAAGGCATCTGACATTCAGCACTGAAATGTTTGTTACTGTAATTGACTTTATCATCAACATTGCACATAGATTGTTAATGGGTCTTTGTCACATCTACTGGTTTGTTCACGTTGATTCAAATCACTACAATAACTGTGTCACATTTTGTTATAGTTACTCTACCTCTCTCTAATAGATTCCGGTAGATTGCCACAGGTGTTTCATTACTCTTCTTCAGTGTGAGAGGTGACATGTGGTCGAAGTCTGTTCGTTGTGGCATAATGAGGTATTGTTACATGCGCTTCATGCATAGGCTAGCACAAGTTTTGTTGTACATGTTTTGTGGAAATTGCAAGTTTTGGAACTTGGCACACTAAGATTTTGACATTCCAGATATGTTAAGGTATGAGACCCCCTCACCTAAAACAACACATAGCTGTCCCAACAACAAGAATATATTCTAAAAACATTTTGGAATGTTTTGGGGTACAAAGTCACCTTGCCGTTAACTGTATTTGAATATGCAAGCTAGAAAAGCAAGCTTTCCAGTTCATAGGCTACTGAAATCGTTTTCAACGCTACATTTCCATATCGTCCAAAGTATCTTTGACTCATAATGCCTATTTTATTATATGGTTCAGATATTTGGGGATATACTTTTAGGCCGTTGATAGAAACGATACAAAGTGACTTTTTAAAGAGGTGTTTCAAGGCGTACTTCTAGTAATGCCATCTTAGGAGATGTAGGTGTAAGTTATTTATGTGTACATTACTACAGTCGTTGTATTAGCTATTGGTGAAGATTACTTCATATGGACAGGTCGAGATATCCAAGGGCCTGGTATGAAATGTTGAAACAGTTCAATGAAGAAGGTAAACTTTGTTGGCTTTCACATATTCGTAAGTTACTCTTTGAAACTGGTTTTGTTTATGTCTGGAATAGCCAACAATGTGGTAATGTCAAGATTTTCCTATGTTTACACAGAGATGTAAAGATATTGAGTATCAAAATTGGCATTCCAAGATTCCATCATCCATTTTGAAGAATTATAGTAATTTTAAAACTCATTTGGGAGTTGAGAAGTATATGTTAGAGTTGTTCCAGTCAAAGGATCTCTTAAAGTATACTGTAAATTTCGTTGTGCATCACATAAATTTAATGTTCAGTTACTACGTTTTAAACGTTTGAAAGACAATAACCAAGTGTTATGCTCAAAGTGTAATTTAGGATCTGTTGAAGATGAATTTCATTTCCTTCTGTTATGTTATTATAAGACATGTGGAGAAGTGTTCATACCACCGTGTTATTATAACAATCCATCCCATGACAAATTTGTCTCACTAATGTCAACAACAAATTCTGTTCTTATAAAGAGGATATCACTGTTCCTGAAAAGACATTTACCATGTTAAGTAGTCTTGCATTGTATACCAATATATATTGCGCACTGTATGAGTTGTAAGAAGTATATGTTAGAGTTGTTCCAGTCAAAGGATCTCTTAAGAGTATACTTTAAATTTCGTTGTGCATCGCATACATTAAATGTTCAGTTACTACGTCGTATTGCTTGAAAGACCATAACCAACTGTTATGGTCGAAGTGTAATGCAGCATTTGTTTAAGATGAATTTCTTTTCATTCTGTCATGTCCTCATTATAAGACATGTATATACCACCATATTATTATAACAATCCATCCCATGACAAATTTGTCTCAATGTCAACAACAATTCTGTTCCTATAAAAATGATATCACTGTTCCTCAAAAGAAATGTATCATGTTAAATAGTCTTCCATTGTATATCAATATCTCTTGTGCACTGTGTGATGTTTTTTTGTATCTTAGCACTATGAGTCTTGAGGCCTCAAATGGAAAATAAACTTGTATTTGAATATGAAAACAAATGTTATCCACTGTCCAGGATAAAAAGTTCATAAAATGAAATCATAAAATGTAAGGTGCTAAGCGGTCGGCCAATTACACATCAGTAACAGTAGATAATATAAGAAAACAACAAACAAAATAA